AAACAGATCCAACAACAACAACAATAATAATAATAATAATAATAAAACAGAGCCTATTAAAGGCAAAGAGAAGCTTCTTGGTTTAAACTGGATCTTACAGACCTCAATCCAGTGCAATCCTCCAATTGTTTTCTAAAAAATATACGTTTGAAATCATGAAGACTTTGAAAACCTGCTTTAGAAACCACTTGTTCTGAATCTTCTGTCAGAGACAGCAAAGGGAATAAAATAATGCAAAGTCATCCAGGCAGTTAACTAGCAATTTTATTTATTTTATTTTAAAGATTTTATTTATTTGACACAGAGAAAGTGAGAGAGCACAAGCAGGGGGAGCAGCAGAGAGAGAAGCAGGCTTCCCACTGAGAAGGGAGACTGACCCTGTGCTCCATCCCAGGACCCTGGGATCATGACCCCAGCTGAGGGCAGAGGCTTAACCAATTGAGCCACCCAGTTGCCCACCCCCTCCCAGGAATTTTATTTTATTTTATTTTATTTTATTTTATTTTATTTTATTTTATTTTATTTATTTATTTTTTTATTGGTGTTCAATTTGCCAACATATAGAATAACACCCAGTGCTCATCCCATCAAGTGCCCCCTCAGTGCCTGTCACCCAGTCACCCCCACCCCCCGCCCACCTCCCCTTCCACCACCCCTAGTTCGTTTCCCAGAGTTAGGAGTCTTCATGTTCTGTCTCCCTTTCTGATATTTACCACTCATTTTTTCTCCTTTCCCTTTTATGCCCTTTCACTATTTTTATATTCCCCAAATGAATGAGACCATATAATGTTTGTCCTTCTCTGTTTGACTTATTTCACTCAGCATAATACCCTCCAGTCTCCCAGCATTTTTAATTCAAGCTTCTCTTTACTGTTTTCAGGGAATGGCCTTGAAAATGATTCTCATTATTAATAACCTTTATGTTCAATTATATAAACCTATTTTTCAAGACTCAGAAAAATCTAAATTGCACCTCAACAACATGTGATTATACTCAGGCATTTTCACAACTTGCCTCTTGAAGCACCAGAGGAAAGACGGTAATTTCTCAGCCTCCTTGGAACAGTGCACTGGTGCCAAGAAGCCTCAAGCAAAAGCTGAGCCCAGCACCCTGCCCCAGTGATAGCCTTATCTGATGCAAGAAGTCACTTGTGTTTTATCAGACTCAGGCTCCTTTAAGTTTAGCCCCTTGCAAATCAAACACGAATTCATTCTTGTGGGTCTTGACTAAAAAGGTTGGATCATGAGTGTTTCCATTTGGCTTTTCATAGATCTTACAAGTCAGTCTGTATTGTTCACAAAATAATGACTTTTCTAAAGACTTTCTGATGTGGGAATGCTATAAAGAGTGAAACTGCCCAAGATGAGCAGGATTGTGCCCTGCTCCTTAAAGGACTCCCAGAGGCCCCCTTTACTGGGGCGGTGCGCTATGCCAAGAAGTCTTGCAGAAACTTCTGGATGGCCTCAGCTCTGCAGGAGCCCAATCTTCCAATAGAGGTAGATGTGGTTTTACCCCCATTCCTTGGTGGCACAAACATGACTTCCCAGGGCCACGGGAGTACAAACCCAGATTCTACTACTTGACTCATCAGGTCCCCTCAGAGGGGGTATTGAGCCTCCCTGAGTTTGTTTTCTTACCTGAATCTGGCTGAAAGGGAAAAAAAAAAATCGCATACCAGATATTGCTCAAACACTACCACATTCCAGACAGAGTCAATCTCTAAGGGAACAGAAATAGTCTTCCTCCCTCAAGTAGCTCATGCTAAAGAAGTAAAACATATAGCTTGCCAGAGAGTAGTATGTGTGAACCAGTGAGGAGCATTTTAGTTAGGAGACCAGTAAATACTTCAAAGAGAAGGTGAGTTGTGAATAAAGATGTGAAGAAGATGAAGGAATGAGTCCTGAGGACATGTGGGGGAAGAGCCTTCCCAGCTGAGGCAACAGTAAGTGCAAAGGCCCTGTGGTACAAGCAGGCCTATGCAGGAAAAAGAGTATCACTAGAGCAGAGAGAAGGAGGGGAAGTAAGAGGAGATGAGATCAGAGAGGCAATAAAGGTGGTAAGACTGTCTAGGAAAAAAGTTATCGAACTATAGCCCAGGGTCACATGTAACCTGACACCTGTTTTTGTACATAGTTTTATTGGAGCCACAGCCACGCCCTTTGGTTTATATGTGGTCTATGGATGCTTTCAAAATACAACAGCTGGGCTAAGTAGTTGCAAAACAGACCATTTAGCCCACTAGGCCAAAATATTTACTATCTGTCCCTTTATAGAAAATATGAATCTCTGACTTAAATAAATAGGGTTGTTTTTTTTTTCCATGACAAGTCTAGAGTAGGCAGTACAGGCATGGTAGAGGAGCCTCATAATGTAAATAAGACACAGACTCTTTTTATCTTTATGGTCCACCAGCCTTAGCATATGGACATATTTTATCATGATCTCAACATAGCTGCCAGTGCTCCATAAATTACACATGGTATCCACATTTGAGAGAGAAAGACAAGTGAAAGGGGTATTCTGTTCCTTCCACCAGGAAAGCAAAAGTTGACTTCATCCCCACCCCCAGCACACTTTACCCTGTCTCTTCACTCCAAAGTGGGTCATCTGGTCCTTCTAGCTTCAAAGGAAACTGGGAAAGCCATGAAAAGGATTATCAAGATTGACTGTGATGGCGGCTTTCAAACTTTTTTGACCATAGCCCACAGTGACAAACACATTTCATGTCAGCCTAATGCATGTAACTAAAATATAAATAATGCAAACAAAAATTTCATAAGACATAACTTATATTTACTTTGTGTGCTGTAAACTGATATTTTCTCTTCCATTTTTAAAAATACAAGTCGCATCATCTACTAAATTAATTTCAGGACCCACTGTTGGGTGGTTCCAAGTGCCGTATGAAAAAAATGCAGCTGGTCATGATCCATCACTAGGGGCTGGCATGGTGCTACTCCAAACAAGTTACTGGCTCTCTCTCTTTCTCAACTTTTTTCCTTTTATTTTTTTCTAAAGGTTTTATTTATTTATTTGAGAGAGAACGAGACTGAGCAGGGGAGAGGATCAGAGGGGGAATGGAGAAGCAGACTCCCCGCTTAGCAGGGAGCCCAGCTCAGGGCGCTATCCCAGGATCCCGAGATCATGACCCGAGCCCAAGGCAGGTGCTTAACTGACTGAGCCACCCAGGCACCCCAGCTTTTTTCCTTTTCTGTTCCTTTCCTTCTTTCCTCTTTTTTCCAAAAAAGAAAATGGATAATGGATTGGAAACAAACAATATCCACAACACCCAGTGTAAGTGAACTGGAGACCAAATACAGTCTCATTGAATACTGAAGGAAAAGGTGATCCTCCTTCTGAGGACCCTGATGATGGACACTCATGTTCCATGCAAAATCCCGGTGAAAACACCCATTCCCTGGGGTTGTGGAGGGGATCCTGTGGGGTCTCTGACATGTTGCACTAGCACAGTGCATGACACACAGTAGGAGTGCAAGGCACATCAGGTTGCTTCCTCAAAAGCAATCATCACTGCAGGCTAGCCCCAGCCCCGGTCATTCCATCACCATCAACTAGATCAGAGAGAATGATTCATTCTCAAGTGCTGGAAAGCCCCAGGGAAATTGTATGTTACCCTGGAGCTATGCTTATTTATCCTACTGAGCATAGGCTGAATACTCAGAGGTTAAGGGCTACGTTGAATTTTGCCCATTGTTTTTTAAAAACTCAAAGAACCAGTTATTGGCTTCCGCTTTAATGACCAGACCTTTGGGTTGTGCAGAAGTGGGGGTCCCTGATCACAGGGAAGCCCAGAGCTGGCCAAGGGTGGGGCATTCTCCACAGATTCATGCAAAGTTGAAGAATCTCTGGTCATCTTTAGCGTCCTCATTTTTGCAGGTGGGGAAACTGAGGCCCAGAGCAATTGTACCATGGCAAGGTCATGCAGGAAATAGATAGCAGAGCCCAATCTCTTGACCCCAAATCCTGCAGCCTCGACAGCAACGATTAGCACAGCCCCTCTCCTCTCATAAACTCAAATCCCAGGCTGATTTTACTTGCCATTTTCTAAGAGGTATGTCTCAAGTTGTAGAATGGCCATCTGTTTCTACAAAGATTAAGAACCACAGATCAAATGACACTAAAAGGATTCGTGTTGAGAGTAGAGGCGAAGAGGTCTGGAGGTCAGGACTAGGGATGGTGATGTAACACAAACTGCGAAGGTTTCCCTCAGCCCCTCCCCCACCCCCCACCCCCGGCACCCCCGTGGCCCAGAAATGCTGCAGTGTCCTGAGGCCTGTGGACTTCGTCCTGTCCGTCTGGGCGCAGGGAGATCCTCCTTCAGGGGCGGGGAGTGAAGAGACGTTTATTTTCTCTTTACCAGCGGACCCGAGTTCTTGGACGGGGTGGCTGGCGCTCCGGGGGGCCAGGAACACCCACGGGTGGCCCCAGAGGAAAAAAAAGATGACAAAGCTCTGGCTGTCACTGGTAACGGCGTCCCCCGCTCGCACCGGCGATGCTGGCGCCACGCAGGAGCCTTTGTTGGAAACCCGAGGGCCTCAGTCCCCCAGAGGTCCCGGAGACCGCCCACAGCCCGGGCCTCCCCGCAGAGTCGGGGCTGCTGGCTGCGAGCGTCCCCTGCGCCCTCGTCGCGGTGCGGGGACACCCCTCGCGCGGCCTCCCCGACCGTTCCCGCAGCCCCAGCGCGCCGCCAGGCCCACCCTCCGGGGCGCCCGGGGCGGGATGGACCGGGCGGTGCCGTCGGCCGGAGCGACACGAGGGGCGGGGCAGATGGGGGCGGGGCAGATGGGGGGGCAGATGGGCGGGGCATATGGGCGGGGCATATGGGGGCGGGGAAGATGGGCGGGGCCGATGGCGGGGTAGATGGGGGCGGGGTAGATGGGCGGGGCAGATGGGGCGGGGCAGGTGGGCGGGGCAGGTGGGCGGGGCGTACGGGGCGGGGCAGACGGGGCGGGCCCTCGGCCAGCGCCGGGCGAAGGGCGGGGCGGGCCCCACGCGCCCGGCCCCTGGGACTCGGCGCTTCAGGCGCTGCAGACCCGGCTCGGGTGCCGCGCGGCGAGGGCACGGCGCGGGCAGCGGCTTCCGGACTGCGCGATGGGCCGAGGGTGAGTGATGCACAGGCCGGAGTGGGGGCCCACGGAGCACTGCCCCCGAGCCCGCCCGCAGCCGTGGGCTCTGGAGCCTGCGCACCGGTGCCCCTTCCCTGCCCCCCTGCCAGCCTGGCGCAGCCCCGGCCTCAGGCCCATTCCTGAGAGTGGGCGCTGCGCCAGGCACCTTCTCCGGGGAAAAGGCACTACGGGGACTCAAACCCGGGCACCGTAGGTGAGAGGGGCCGCAGGCTACACCTTGGCTCACCTCGTCTCTTCTCTTAGGCAATATCCTAGGAGCGTTGATCTTAGTTGAGGCTGAGGCGGGAGAGGCTCAAAGAGGCTCTGGCACAACTCTCAGATTTCACAGATGGAGAACCGGCGCCCGCCGAGATAATAGCAGAAGGAGGGGCTTGCCTCACCGGCTCTTGATAGAAGATTTGCCGGGTTCTCTCACCTGTGCAAAGGGCCTTAGCACAAGATGGCACCCACGTCTCACAGCCCTAATACTTTCATTATCCCCATTTTCAGACGAGAAAACAGGCTTACAGAGTTACAGAGTTGCCCTGTTTCAGCCAGATGAGTCAGTGAGGGAGTCAGGATTTGAACTTAGACTTTCTGGTGCCAGGTCTCATTCATTTCACCCCTTGACTTCAGAGCTCACCCTGCCAGCCACCCTGTTCTCCCCCACCACATGCTCCTGACTGATTCTGGAGAGATGCTACAGTGTTTTTACAGTCTGACACGGCCTGGGGGAGGGAGGGCCTCCTCCCTCCCAGCCCCTCCCTCCCACCGCCCTCAGTGCAAGGCCCGTGCTAGCTGGTGTTTTCTTAAAACACTGTAAGGAGATCTTTAGTAACCTTGCTTCCTAAGCAAATTAAATAAAGTTGCAGTAAATGGGGCTGAGAATCTGGAATTTGAACCCAAGCAGGTTAGACTTCAAAGCCACATGCTTGCACTGGCAGGAGAAACCCTTGCTAGCTTCTCTGTAGTTTGCTAAGGGTACAATCAAGCTTTGTTGCCAGTAGCTGTGATGAAAAAACAAAAACCAGCAAACAAGCAAAAAAATGCAATGAATTGGTAGAACTAACAGGTGAATGCAGGTCTGCTTTCCACCTGCTCCCCTGTATAATTCCTGAGCTGCTGCCACCAGGGTCAGAAGTGCTGGAGGAAGGAAGCAGGGAGGAAGAGACTGGGGAAGGGAGAAGAGAGGAAGGAGGAGGAGAACACATTAAAATGGAACACATGAAATTTAGGTTAAAAAAAATTCTGGCTGGAAGTTGTAATGGCATGTGTTTCAGCACGTTGTCAGTGGTGGAGTGTATTTCCAGTAGTTCATGTCATAATTCTCTCTGTGTGGTGCGGGTGGTTCCAGACTTGACAGTGAAAGTGAGGTTGAGGCCACCTGTTAGAGAGCCCCTGTGAAAATGGGAAGGAAGGCCCTGTTTCCACCCTGAGACTCTAGTGGGTAGCCTGGAGGTGGAGAAACAGTGAAAGTCCAGGGTCCCCCTCGGTCTGGGTCAGCTGGACAGTGACAAACAACGTGAGCAGAACTCAGCCAGTCACAGTGCAGATCCTGTAAATGCAAAGCCTCACGGGAAGACTCTGACCAGGAGGTCAGCCAGAAGGCACTCTGGCCTAGGCCCCTGGGGACCTGGGCCCTGGCTTTGAGAGTAAACTCAGCCATATGTCCTTGCTCATGGTCACTCCAGCTGGGAAGATGGCCCTTTTCTGTGAGTCTCACATCCCCATATCCCGCTATCCCTTCTGACCTCCCCACCTTGTGACCTATCATGGGAGCTTTGATTTATTTTTTTAAGATGTTATTATTTATTCCCAAGAGACACACAGAGAGAGGCAAGAGACATAGAGGGAGAAGGAGGCTCCTTGCAGGGAGCCCAATGCGGGACTCGACCCTAGGACCCCAGGATCATGACCGGAGCCAGAGACAGACACTCAACCACTGAGTCACTTAGGCATCCCAGGAGCTTCAGTTTATTGTGGGTGAACTCCATATGAGACCCATGTTACAGCAGCCAGCAATTTACCAAATGAGGAATCTGAGGTTCAGAGAGAGAAAGGGACTTTGCTTAAGGTCACACAGCTGAAGAATCAGGGAGCAGAGCTTTAAGTCCAGAGCCTTGGAGAAGCTGGGTTGTCATCTGGTCACAGAGAACATTGAAGGAAATATTTTGGAACTGTTTTAAAGTAAATTAAGATCAGATAGGAAGTGGCTGCTGCTTTTGTGAAAGGGGAACTTGCAGTTTGCTCAGTTTTCTTTTCTGGCTGTCTGACCTTCTTCCCCAGGAGGCACTACTGAGGGAGAGATTTGGAACCCTTTCCCCTTGCCCTGCCTGACTTTGGGAGGTGGGAGCAGAGAGGTCGTGCAGCCTCATAGCTACAGAGCCAAGGAGAGCCCCAAAGCCACTCTGGGCCAGCAGCCAGTACAATCCCCGCTAAATTGAGGCCCAAGGGATGGCACAACATGCTGAAGTCACACACCAGGTGTATGCTGCAACAAAATCCACACCCAGACTTCTCTCTGGGATGCCCTTTTGCCTCCTCCATCTCACTGTGATACGTTCCAGCAGAAATTCTTAACCTGGGATCTGAGCATCCAGGGATATGTGCACAGGAGCTTCCTGAGGCCCCTGCAGTGGTGTGCAGATTTGATATGTACATACTTGCACATTCATGCACATATGTAAATTTTCCTGGGGAGTGTGTGTTACACTTTAAAGAGATTCCAAAGGGCTCTGTGGCCAAAAAGATTTAGAGCCACACTACGTCTCACAGAAAACCACTACCAGCAAGTCAAGCACTTGGCATACAGGCCTGGTACAGTGGACAGCAGAAGTGGGGGCAGCCACAGAGAGCACCTGGCACAGCTCTGCAGCATCTGGCATGGAGCACCAGGAGGGCTTGTCCCCAGACCACCCCTACCTCAGGATATTGGTCAGTCTGAGCACCTGTTGGGCCCAAAAAGCATGGCTGAGAGGATTCCCCTTTGCACAGATCCCCTCTTCCACAGATGAGAGGTGAGCCTGGTTTGAGCAAGAGGGCCCCCCGGCCCAAGGGGTATCTGAGAGAGGGAGCAGAAGGACAGGAAATGTCTTTCTGGCCCCAGGTTGCCATGCCTTGAAAGCAAGAGCAAAAACCAGAAATCCTCCCACAGGGGCCTGGGTGAGGTGCTGCCTTCGAGCTCAGGCTGAGAAGAAGATGCCAGGAAAGCCAGCCTGCTCCAGTGCAGATGGCCAAGCTCTTCTGAGGACAGGCAACAGTGTTGGGGAGGCCCTGTGGATAGGACCCCAGGACCACAGAGGTGGGGAGTATGCAGTCAAGGTGAGCTAGGGTCCATGAGCCAGCCCAGAAGGCAGTGAGTGAAGGTGGCTAGCAGCGGTGTGGCCACCTCTCCTGCTTTCCCTCTGCCACCATCACCTCCATCTGGACTGTGCACAGTGTCCTCTGGGTTCTCCTTCCTAGTTGGGGTGAGGCAGGAAGGGGTGTGGCTGACCCAGAGGGCAGATGGTGGTGGCTCTTGGAACTGGAGGGGGGGGCAGGGACAGCAGTGTGGAGGGGCAGAGGGAACAGCTGTTGAGTCCCTGCCTGCCATCCACATCCCCACAACTAGCTTTCTCAACAAAAATGTGTTTCTAAGTGTTAGCCTGTTCCAGTCAGGCCTCCTCTCAGAGGCAGCTGGTAGCAGCAGCAGGCACAGGAGGTCCTTCCCTGGCCAGGCTCCTGCCATTTGCTGGCTGACAGGTGCTGGGGGGTGGGCTGGAGCGTTGCTTGTAATGCTCCTTGTTTTCAATGCCTCCCCCCTCCCTGCCCAGCTGCCCTTTGGAGATCGTGGTCCTGGGCTGCTGAACAGGGAACTTAGGCTTCTCAGGAATGCAAGGCAGTGTCCCTCCCTGCACCTGCTGCCTCTCTCTGAGCCTCCTGCCTCCTTTCAGTCTGATTGCAGCCTGGGCCCGATGCTCCCAGCTGCGCCCCACACCTCTGTCCTCCTTTCATTTGCTTCTCTCGTCACTTTATTTACACGTTTGATTTTAATCATGCCTAAGGAAGAAGATAGGAATCCTAAAGTATTAGAACAGAGGTTACCAAGCCCTCAAATCTCGCAGACATCCCCAGAACATTTTAATGTGGATATTGATGCATTTGCCAATTTTGCCAAGTTAGGACAATGACCATCTATTTTTGTCATCATTTTATGAAAAAAGACATTTTAAGAGGAAAAAGTAGGCACCACAGCTTCTCAAAAGAAAAGGCTCTCAGATGCACTCAGTTTGGCTTCTTGAAAATCCCACTTCCCTAGCCTTTTTCTCCTTTCCGCCTGGGGCCAGCAGGAATTGGGCTGGAGTGGTGACTGAAGAGCCACAAAGCTGCTTTCTTTTGTGATCATGGGCTCCATGACCACGAACAAGGAAAAGATGGGCCAAGCCTAGCAGTTAAAGGCTTCCCTGTCCTTTGTCCCAAATCAAAGGCCAGGAACAATAGCAGGGGCAGGCTACAGTGCCAGCTGTCCTCAGCAGCCCCTCTGCATAGGTGGCAGCGCAGCCACTGATGTGGAAAGCAAAAACAGTTCACTGCCTGTTCATTGGGGACAGGTAACCATGGCTGGCACATCGCCCTGGGGCACCTTCTCTGGAGACAAGGAGCCCTGACTGCAGTCTCAGTCCTCTGGTCAGGAACAGAGCCTCCTGCAGCCCTGGGAGAAAAAGTGGAGGCCTGAGCTGGGTGTGCTGAGGCCTGGAGGGAGGGGAGCAGGCCAGGACGGAGGGCTGGCCTCCCAGAGCCAAAGAGCTTGGCCTGCTCAGCTGCATCTGTCCCTCTGGTTGTTCAGCTGCGCCTTGGTAGCTGTCCGGCTTCAGCCTGTCCTCTCCCCGAATCCCGCTTCAACCAAAGTAGCCTTGTTTTAATCTGTGCATTGGGCTTCTGTCTTTAAAAACAAGATTATGAAAAAAAATAAAAACAAGATTATGATTTTTATAAAAGGTTGAACATCACTCCGTTAG